AAAAAAAAAAAAAAAAAAAAAAAAAAAAAAAAAAAAAAACTCTCTAAAAAATGATAATCTAACTGCAGCAAGAGAGTGGTAATAAGAAAGTATACTAGTGCCAAATGCTGCAGAAAAGCCACAGAGAATTAAGAAAAAAGAAAAAAGGCACAGTAGGGTCAGCCAGCGGCTTGACGATTAGGCAGCTGGATCCTACAGGGCCGACTGCACAGGTCATGTCCCAGACCCAGAGGCCTGAGAAACAGGCCAGATGCATGTGCATGTGTGCCTAAGTCCTGAGAGGAGAATGGAGAAGAAAGGATTGTGGTGTGGCCATCCATCCTCCCTGGGCTGCTTTCTCACTTTCCTTCTAGTTCTCTCTCATTGCCTGTCTGTCTGTCTGTCTGTCTCTCTCTCTCCCAGTGGGTGCACATGCCCTACAGCAAAAAAATTTAAAATAATAAATAAACGTTTTAAAATTTCAAAAGTGATAGATTGATGAGTAAAAAGTTTAGTTTTGGGGCCAGCAGGTGCACGAAGGTCAAAGCTCTGGATCCCACATAGCCAATTCCGTGGTTCGAGTCCCAGACCAAGCAGCTTAAAAATCACACCGGGCATGTGTACATGCATACCCGAAATCCCAAGAGGGGAATGGAGGGACTGTGATGCGGCCACCCCCTGGAGAGGAGTTTCTCTCTGTCTTTCTCTCTCTTGCTCTCTCTCTCTCTCTCTCTCTGGTGAATGCACATACCCTAAAGCAAAACCTTTATAAAAGTTCACTTTTGAGTCGTTAGTATCAGCACTGAGCAGCAAGTATGGGATGCTGTAATGAAGCATTGGTTTTGAGAGATTCTAACTGAAGTATGACCATAACGAAAGGAGGAAGCAGGGCTAGGATAGAGAAGAGGTGAGTGATACCTCCTTAAATGTTGCAGCCTCAGTGCCATAGTCACCTCCCTCTAGTCCAGACCCTTTTAAGCAGTTGTGTGTGTGTTTTGAGACAGCAGATGCTGATTGTGTCTTAAAAGCGTGGAAAGCAAGTGAAAAGAGTAAAGATACTGAGAAGAAAGGTGGAAAGTCTCAGAGGAGATTCTCGTAACTGGCAGAATGAGTTGGGAAAGAAGGATCAGGAGGGATAAACACGCCCCCCAACAAGAGGGTACCCGGAGAGGTACACTGTGCCCAATGTAGGATGGGAGGGAGGGAGAGCAGAGGGCAGAATTTCCCGGGGACACACATGTCGAGAGAAAACCGAGACATCCCACTTTACACACAAACCCCTTTGTACTACACTCACTTATACTTGTATCTGTAATAACATAACATAAATTGGGAAGACGTAGCATAAATACAAATAAATGAAATAATGCCTCAATGAAACAGAATGGCAAATAAACAAATATGCAAACCACAAAATAGTTAGTCATTATCTTTTTTTTTTTTTTTAGAGAGTTTTTTTGCTATAGGGCGGGAGTACTTGCCAGAAAGACAGAGAGAGACAGAGAGACAGAAAGCGTCACCCACCCCCGGGGGGGGCATGGCCACACCGCAATCCCCTCTCTATTCTCCTCTCGGGATCCTGGGCACACACACGTGCCCGGCATGAGTTTAAGCCACTGGCTCCAGGACTCGAACCGCAGTTGACTACATGGGAGTCCAGTGACATAGCCATTACACCAAGTGCTGGTCCCATAAAAT